AGTGTGTGACAAGACCTCACATTTCCCCAAAATATTTCTGTATAAGGTATTTTGAAATACCTCACTTGATATACTGAGGTTCTAGTTATATTTTAAACTAGAGTAAATTTGAATAAGTTTGTAGTCATGCTCCCTACCAAAAATTGAAAAGCTTAAACAACCAACCATGACAAGATGTCTTGACATGGCATGTTCAACAAGTTAGTTTTAATACATCTTTAAATTCAGTAATCCATTAGAAACTTCAAAAGCAACACAGGTATCACACTAATAGTTCCCAATTAAAAGAGAAATAAAATAGTTCCTAATAGTCCACTAAAATGTCTGACATGTATGTGGTAAGTAAGCACTCGTCTTATTTCTATAATGAAACATACAAAGGAGTAAAATGGTCTTGTTTATGACCTCCTCTTCTCTTTAATCATATCTTAGGGAAATCATCAATATTCTAAGTCACTAAGCAAACAAACTCTTGGTTTTACTTCTAGACCTTTTTAAGAAGTATATTAAGTTATTCTCCAGCTTACTAAAAAATATGGGTAGAATATTTTATCAACTTGTAAGACTACATGAGTTTGAAAGCTTGAAGATACTTTGCAAGTCTAATATCTTAAAGTATTAATTTCATCAAACTTTTACATTTTAAAAAAATGACAGCATTTTGTCTTAAAACTAGAAAAAAACCTGATAGTGTAAAAATATCAGAAAATTTAAGATTTTAAGTGCCAATATCGATTTTTTTTAAAATGTGAAGAATTTAAAAAAATTCATGTGAATAGTTAGAAAGTGATATATTAGAGGGAGAAAATTCAATCCCACACACTTCGCCCAAAAAAATCTTTAAGTAAGCTATAAATTTAGGGTGAATGAGGTCAAATTAATATATTAGAATATTAAGGTCCAGAAGTGGTATCTTATTTTACAACAAGGGCAACTCCTTTTTCAAAGTTAGAGGAAGTAAAAGGGAAAAGAAATAAAAGTCAGGAAAGATAAGTGATTTATACCAGTCTTTTCCAGTGCTCTCTATAAATGGTTTTGCTTAAAATTATAGAAAGGCATTTTAGGGAAAATATAACATTAAAAACCAGTTCATATTCTTGGTTCATGGCAATATCCTTAACTACTTAACTAATGCCACACTCCAAATTAAATTGCAGTTATGTCATTAACAGGTCTACTTTTTCTTCTCTCTCTAGGAGGTATGAAACATCCCAACAACTCTTGATTATCACAACTATTGGCTGGGCAAATATGGGAATCAAAAAAGACAAGCCATCAGCAATGAGAATGGTTCTGTAGATTAAATTACACAAAACAATTTTACATAGCAATACAAAGGAATAAGCTACTTTTACTTTAAATGTACAGTTATCAATTGTTAAAATGTCATAACCAGGATTATGTTAAATATATAATCCAAGATCAATGCATATCATCCCACACTCCAGATTAAGATGTAGTGGATGGAGCAAAGGAACTACAACCACCAGTATTTATTTTTTCACAGCAGTGTTGAAAATGGCAGCTACCCTCAAGCTTCTTCAGAGTCCTCTTCCTGGACTATTATTTACCCCCAATCCCTATTTCCATTCACTTGACTGTCAAAATTTTAAAAGTTCCGAACAGCACAGAGTTAAGCCAGTTAAACCTGAGAAGTCATCGTTCCTTCGAATATCTTTTTGAAGGATGAGACTGGGGGTTAATATGGTCCTAAAATGGACTATATATCCTAGAAAAAGTGAAATTCTGCCAGAATCCTTTACCTACTGTATAATCTCTTTTTGGAAATTCCTGGAAGAAGAAAAATGAAATATTTACATATAGTGTCCTCAAATAACAACAAAAATGTCCTGGAAAGGCAGGATTGAGAAACTGGGTTAGGAAATCTCATAACTTAAAAAATTAGCCAACTTGGGAAAGGTATATTGATATCTAATAATAAAATAAGCTGTCAGAACAAAAATATTTAATACAATTAGATCATGTAAAAGATGCAATAGGGAATTCTCAAATTTATAAAACACTTTCGAGTAAGCAATGGAAATATTAGCATATCATCAAATAACTAATATTCAATTAGCCTATATTATGCCTTTCAAATATGTTTTGCATCTGCACTTAAAATTACAATAATGTCACAGTGGCAGCAGTAAAATATCACTGCAGTGTATGTCAGTGACTACAATATTTACTTGTTACGCAGTAACCACAGAATATATATAAGCAAGAATCACAATATCACAGTATAGTTTCATCATTCTAATATCATAAAATCCTACTATCATTACATTTTGTCACAATGTTTATAGTAGACTTGTCACAATCTGAGTCAAATAACATTTTAGAACAACAATATAATCTGAATTGCTTTTACTTTTGTGTATACACATTAGCAGTCAAATGTTTCACATTCAAATAAATGGTTTAATGAAAAACAAATGTATAGGGTTTGCTCCATAAGGCCACACAAAATAGAAAATCAAAATACAAAAATGCCTTAAGAAGTTGAGAACAACTGAAATACTTCTGGACAGTTTATTATTCCAAATGTAGTAACTCCTATTATAACAATGTCTTCAACTTCTGTGCAATTTGAGAATTAACTGTATACATGCAAAACATATTTCAAAATATCCAAAAACTGATACTTATTTCAATCATCTTAATGAACACTAATTTTTAGCATAAGCTTGTTAGAGTCAAATTATTAGGGTCCCCATCCCCAAGCAAATCTGGAAAAATTTTAAATTACAGTTCAACTTTATATCACTGTAGAAACACATGAGGAAGGTGCTTTGGGTCACCTTTCTGGTGGGTGCTTTAAGAGACTATATGGTTAAATCTTTAGGCTTAGATTCAATGACTGGTTAAAAACACTTGAAAAGAGTTCTCAGAAATTTGAAACAGTTGCAGCATAGTGCAGAGCACTAAACGTGGAGCTTAAAGATCAGCCCAGATTTTGTCACTAGTTTTGTGACACTCTTCATGTTAGTTAATCTCTGAGTCTGATTTTAGAATTCAAACACATAATTCCATCCTATGTGTTTCATAATATCTTGTCCAGGCTTTTTCCTACATAATATTTTTCCTTCAACCAAGAACTTATTTAGAATCTACTACGTGCCAGGTACTGTGCTAGGTACATTTTGTTATTCTAATGAGGAACTGAAAGTATAATGTTAAAAATGTGACCTTTTTGTTTGGAGAGTTTCAAGATCAAGTGAATGAAGTTACATATCTCCACTGAGTTACAAAAAGGAAAAAAGAAAAAAATTAAGGACTAGGAACAGCCTCCAAGCTTTAAGTTTAAATATAGGACAACACCAAGTAAGGCTCACAAGGGAAAGAAAGTGAGACAAATATTTGCTAACTAGATATTTTGAATCATTTCTGTTTATAGTACCATGCAATTGAGGAAGGGAACAGTCTTGAAACAATTAAGGGAAAATACTTAGATTTATGTAGAAATAACCAGGATCCAGTTAAGGTCATGAAATAAGAGAGGCAAGAAGCCATACTCTTTTTCATTGGCCTCATCATTTTCTATTGCACTAAACCTATCTGAAAAGCCTACCTGTGGGAAAAAAATTACAGAGAGAAAATGTCAAGGGAAGTACAAGAACAAGCAATGGCATTTGTAATATTTTATGAAAGTGTACAAGGCTTAACTGACACATCTCACCCTATAAAAATGTTATGAAATATAAACATGGACCAATTTTAGTAAAGTAGCATTCTGATAGGAATTAACTAATTTACAAGCCTTATTAACACTGCAGCTTTGTCCTACCAATCTAATCTGTTCAATCTTTCCAACATAAGTTATGAATCAAGCATATTCTTTAGTAGCCTTCTTATGAAAAATTCCAGAGATTATACAGGAAAGCCTAAAAACTGGACTTCTTTTTCTTGTCAAATGTGAATTAATTTTAAACATATTGTTTGAGATGTAACTCGGGGAAGCATGATATATAGAAGAAAAAATAACAAAAACAAATATGCGTATATTTAACGCAGATGTTGGGTATGACTGCTAAGGTCAAAGACCGGCTTTAACTACTTTGGATCCACATAAGCCTTTAACACACATTCTCTTAAATCAATAAAATTTGTTTAAAGATTCAGAACCAGGAGATAAGCAGCCTGGTGGTGAAGAGGGGAAGTTACTTTCTTCAGCATTTTCTAATTAAGCCCATCTCTCACAACTGTTACAAACTTTTGTTAGTCCAAACCGTAAGCTACCTGGGGTTGGCAGAAGGGTTCATTCACAGACCAGGACGGGATACTAGATCAAAGCCAAACCGTCTCCAAACATTAATGATTCCCCTTGACTAGGAAGCATGTCAGGGTAAAAGCATGTAGGTTTCCTGTTGTAATCTAGAAAAAAGCTGGCGGGCACCAGAGTAGGAAGTGGGAGCACGAAAACAGATTTAGTTAACAGAATTTAGAAGTCTCCATGCAACCCTTCCTCCCCTCTATCTCCATCAGACCGGGCTATCCTCTCCACGTCCGAAGGCTGAGAGGTCAGAGAGAAATGTGGGGTCAGGGTGGCTCCCCCGGGCAGGTCCCCGCCCTAGTTTTCCCTCTGTTGAGCCCAGATCTCCGTTCTGAACCGACCTAGGAGCTGGTCCAGGGCTGGGAGCCCGGTTGATACCAGCAGCTGTCCATTCCGCACCGACGGTCGTGTCCCCGCGATGGACACCAGTCGAGAGCAGCCGCTGTCGCTACCGCTGGCTCTAGGACCCCTCCGCTGGAAGCTGGTGACGCTGTTCCTGCTAGCCGCCACCACCATAGACCCAGTACTCCTGGTGCCTGTGCTGCAGGTCGCCACTGCCGCCATCTTGGCGCTTCCCGCGTTGACCCAATAGGAACTCTGGGAGCTCAAGCCTCGGGTCTGTCAGAGCCAGCCCCAAACTCCCGCCTCCTTGCCTCCTCCTCGGCTCCCGAAGCCAATAGGACTAAGAGTTCCCTCCCGAGTCAACCAATGGCAAGGCGTATTACTGAGACGTGCATTCTACGTCAGGACGACGGACTTCTTCAAGGCCCAGGTGAGAGAGACACCCTGAGTCCTGGGTGAGAGCCTTCGGGGTTCTTTGGGACTAGAGGTGGGTAATATCATTCAACATTTTTCTCGTTTTGAGTGCCCTCATTCACGCTGAATCAAAGAAAAGGCTGGTGGAGCGGTCTATCAAGCAAATAGCAGTAGGGCCTTGCACTTTTCTCCGCTCAGTATTAAAGAGGATACTCCCTCCCGCCCCTTTCTCTTCTGATTTTTTGGGAGAATATTCCCTCCGCCATCCTCTTCAGGTCTTTTTCTGAATGGCTGTGTAATATTGAAGGGATTGGAACTCTTATCTTAGCGACTTGCTTGTCGAGCAAGTCTTGGGCTTGGTTCCTCAGTGCCTGTGACAGGTGGGTTGGATTTAGACGTTAGAGTAAAAACTCCTGAGCTTTGAGGCGATTTGGTTTTCCCCCGTTTCAAACAGCAAATAACAAAATGCACCCCTCTGACAAGTCCCCTTGAGTAGCTTTCGTTAATTTTAATTAGTGCTTCTGGAAGTCTTAGAGCGCCTTTCCATAAGTGGTGTGAATGATAAGTGTTACTCTGACAACCTTGTTCACACATTTAATTGTCGTTTGCTGTTAAGGCACCTGCAAATAACAGAAAATACTTCAGGGTTTTTTTTCCCCGAAAAACTGATAAGAGTTAGATGTGTACGTGCTTTCTTTTTCAAGTGATTTATGAACTCTGAATCAAGAGCTTATTAGAATAGGAAGTTTAATTCCTATTAAAATAGAAAAAAACATGTAATTTAGAACTGTGTCCTTGGATTTAAATTTTGTTTTCAAAATTTTGAGCTGGCCGGGGGTAGGGGATTGGAGTAACTGATTTTTAAAGACATTCATGATTGACAAATGTCTAAACTAAAAAAGACTCACAAATTATGCTCGCACTAATAGTTATTGTTGGTTTTGACAGTGATTTGTGATACTTTTTAAATACATCCAAACTTCATGGAAATTCTTGCCGTTGAATTGTTTTAAATCTCAGTGACCTTTTTAAGACTTTTTGGCTGATTCTATTTGATAAACTGAGATTATATTGCTAAATAGTGACTAGAGTTTTTCATTTGGGATGGTTTTTGTTTTCTGTTTGTTTTTTAAAGAAAAATGTTCAGAAAAGAAAAACTAAAACAGCACCTTGCTATTTAACAATATATCAACTGCAAAGCTTGATCAAGGTTTAGATGCTTTCACTTAGAATTTCACCAGTATAAATCTGTAATCTAAATTGTTCTGTAAATAGCGGTTGAGTGTTTAGTGTCTGCTTGGAGCTAACCTTGTCATTTCAGGCCTATAGAAGTAAAAAATGTTCTCATTTGGGGGAGATAAGATTAGCACATAGAAAACAGCATAGCAGTTAAAATGAACACGTTGAACAATATATATTAATTTTGTCCTGTAGTAAATAATTATACTACAAAGACCAAAACAGAAAGTGACAAAGCAACCTAATATCAAACAGGAACTTCTCAGATAGTTTTGCTGCTCTGAAAAGTTTGAAGTACTACAAATATTGAATTTTTATAGGTTTCTTTACTGTGTATTCCCCTGTTTTCTACTCTTTACTTCAGCCTTTAGTTTTCTAAACCTTATTACTAGAAGTGAAAAATTGTATTTCAGCTTGAACTGTAATCCAGGAAGCATGACATATGTGTGCACCAAGGCACTCCTGAAATTAGGGTATATCTTTGGTATAACATTATCATAGAATAAATTAATTTAATCTGTCCTATTTTTTTTTACAAAGACAAAACCTTTGCTATCAAAGCAAATAATCCCAAATACTTGAATTTACCAGTATGTAGAGTAGAATATAAACATTGGAATAAATGAAGTTTTTATGGAAGGAAAGAATTAAAAGGGTTTATGTTTAGGTGTGGTGTTAAATGATTAATAACAATTATTTACTGAGCACATAGTAAATCTCACGGAGTGTGCTATGTACTAGGTTACAGGAGAAAGAATACTTAGTCTCTACCCTCTTTGAGTTCACAGTTGGGAGAGATAGGTGGGTGGATAGGATAATAAAATATACTCTAAATGCTGTGGAGGACAAATACAGAATACATAACTTGAACTGAGATAGAGAATCCTGGGTAAGTTTACCCTGAGAAGGAAGCTCCCTCCCCTCCTTCAGTAAATATGCTCTCATTGCTACTGTACAAATAGTTCTCATAATTTGTGCATAGTGCTAAGAGAAGAGGAGACTAGAGAAATTAGATAAAAATCTAATTGATTTTTTTAAGATGAATTTTTTTTCCCTTAAGGATAATGGGAAATTATTGAAAAATTTCAGGTAAAGAAATGACATAATAATCATATTTGATCATTATGTTTGGCTAAAAAGTATCCTGCAAGAGAATGGATTGGCTAACTGTGACTGGCATAAAGAGAATGGAATGAATCAAGAGATTACTATAATGGGTAGGATTGATATGACCAAGGAAGGTTGACAGGAGGAATCAAAGATGAGTAACAGGTTTCTGTATTGAGCAGCTTTCTGGATGGTGGAGGATAAAGAATAAAGGAGAAACAATAGAACTTTATAGTTGTGCAGTTGGTTGTTTTAGGGAATGGGAGATCACGTTTTTTATGTTTTGAATGTATTTAATTGGAGTAAAATACCTGTGGAGTATCCAAGTGGAGATGTCCAATACACAGTAGGCTATGTGAGAGAGGGATCTCTAGATGAAACATATAAATTAGAAATTAATTAGCCCATGGTGGGAGTTTACCTTAAGGGAATGGATAAGCTCACCAAGGAAATGTATACTTTGGGATGAGAAGAAAAATGAACCAGGAATAAACTTTGGGAAACATGAACACTTGAAAGCTGTGCAGAGGAGGAGAAAGTAAAATAAGAATTGGAAAGTGTTTACTTGATTTAGTAATAATGATTTATTTTTGGCTTTGTTAAGGGCAAGTCTGATGGAGTAGCAAACTGAAAAGTCAAATAATTCTGTTTAGAATTGAATGGGAAGTGAAGTTGAATATTCCATAAAAGTAGACCATTTTACATTTTAGAAGGGTTTGCTGTGAAGGGGGTAGAGGGGGATGACAGAGGTTTAAGGGAGCAGTTTTCTTGTGTGGAAGAGGGAGGGAGAAGGAGAGGGGAAGGGAGAGAGAGATGAAGCTACTGGAAAACATTCTTGGCAATGGATGAGGAAAAGAACCTGAATGAGGTAGAAGGAATGGAATCTGGAGCACAGGAAAGGGATCAGTATTTGAAAGGAGGAGGCTAAATTCAATGGCTAAAAAATGTAAATGAAAGTAAGACTCTTTCTTTTCCTTTTTGCCATTAAATCTTGGAGTTTTTAAGACCATTTTCTCTTTTCTTGTTCCATATTCTTACCTTCATCCATTCCCAGGACTTTAGTTCCTATTTATACACCAGTGACTAACATATTTATAGTCCAGATTGCTTCTCTGATCTCGAGAATCATAAATTCAGATATTTACCTTTTTTCTGAAAGTCTTAGTGGGACCTCAAACTCAGAATGCCCCAGACTGAACTTCCTTTGGTGTTTTGTATCTAGGTAAATGATAGGATCATTTGTAGAATTAGTTGCCTGAGCCAACTCACCATACTCAGTTCCTCTCTTAAGCTTCATTCCTCCATAGCCAGTCTCTTACCAAGACTTATGGAGTTTACTTCTCAGTAACTCCCTAATCCATTCTAGAGCATTTAGCTCTCATCTTTGGTTCTCCTGCAGTACATTCTCCATTCAAGAACCATCCCAATCCTTTCAAAATAGATGTCTGATCATATAGTATAAAAACAAAACTTTTAAGGACATGCATTTGGTTTCCTCTACTTAGCTCTCTAGTCACATCACTCTATAAATTCCCTTACTCTCTTCACTCTATCATTCATTTATTCTCCTGTACTCACCTTGTTCCCTTCATCCAGAAGGCCACTAGTTAACTTCTATTTATCCTTCAAATCTCACTTCAACCCATACATCCTCAGTAAAGCCTTCTGACCTTGATATCACAATAAAATAAGCTCCTATATACTAACAATGAACAAGTGGAATTGGAAATTAAAAACAATACAATTTACATAAGTATCCCCCAAAATAAAATAATGAGATATGAATCAAAAAGTGTATAAGATCTATATAAGGAAAAGTTCAAGACTCTGATGAACCAAATCAAAGAAGAACTAAATAAATGGAGAGATATTCCATATTCGTGGATAGGAGACTCAATATTTTCATTATGTCATTTCTTCCCAAGTTGATCTGTAGATTCAATGCAATCCCAAATAAAATCCTAGCAGGTTATTTTTTGGATATTAACAAGCTGATTCTAAAGTTTATATAGAGAGGCAAAAGATACAGAATAGGAAACACCATATTGAAGAACAAAGTTGGAGGACTGATGCTACCTGACTTCAAGACTTAGTCTAAAGTATTGGCAAAAGAATAGACAAAGAGATTGGTGGAGCAGAATAGAGAACCCAGAAATAGACTCACATGGATATAGTCAACTGATCTTAGACAAATGAACAAAGAAAATACAGTGGAGCAAATATAGTCTTTTCAACAAATGGTGCTGGAACAACTAGTCATACACATGTAAAAAATCAATAAGTGAATAAATCTAGACACAGACTTTACTTCAGAAAAATTAACTCAAAGTCGATCACATACCTAAATGTAAAACACAAAACTATAAAACTCCTAAAAGATAACATAGGAGAAAACATGGCTTACTTTGGGTATGGCAGTGACTTTTTAGATACACCAAAGGCATAATCTATGAAAGAAATAGTTGACAGGCTGAACTTCATTAAAAACTTCTGCTCTGTGAAAGACAGGATCAAGAGAATGAGAAGACAAGCCACAGACTGGGAGAAAATGTTTGCAAAAGACACATCTGATAAAGGACTGTTGTCCAAAATACACAGAGAACTCAATAATAAGCAACCTGATTTAAATATGGGCGAAAGACCTTGAGACTCCTAACCAAAAAGATATACAGATGGCAAATAAGCATATGAAAAGATACTTCCCATCATATGTCATCAGGGGAAATG